GAAAGGTAAACATTTCAAGTTGATTCAGGGCATGGAGGCAGCCACAACAATGCACCTAAAGACATGAACGAAAGCTTCTGGAGCTGCTTCAGAAAGTGGCAAAAACCATGGGCAAGTGTGTTCAAAGCAAGTGCAAGGATTTGAGGGGATCAGAGGCAACATGTCTTCCACTGTTGTAAATTTAAAATAATTTAAACACACACCATATGTTTTGGTCATTTCCATATGTCTCTGTGGAGTGGAAGTTTTAAGATTGAATATGTGCTTCATCCTTTTTCCTGTCGGTTCTGCAGAAGCACAGAGGTGGAACCTCCCTCAGCCCAGTCCCTGCATGCAGGCTGTGTAGAGCAGAGTTCTTTGGCCAACCTGCATGGACGAGGAGCATGAGCAAGAAATGCAGTGGTGCTCAGTCTGTCTATCTGTCTACCTATCTGTCTGTCTTCTATACTTCTTAGGCTACATTAACCATCAATTTACAGGAAGCTGCAAAAGTAACAAAGTCCACATACCTTCTCTCATAGGTAAAACTTACATGAGAATAAAATATTTATCTAAATCACTGAGCTTTGGGGGATACCTCAGCATTAAAATATCATATTTTAATCTACCATATTTTTTGTTAAAATATATTTTTTAAATGTGTGGCTCAATTATAGTGCCATGAAACTCTTCTAAACTCTTATCACATTTTGATTGCCTCCTCTTTTGGCAAATAGCATATTTTATCTTGTATTGTTATACATTCTCCTTTTGCCAAATCAAAAGCTCCCTAAGAGAGCACATCTTATTTATCTTTAAAGACCTCCCAATAGATTGCTGTTGAAGGCACTTTAAAATGTTTATTAATGAATGAAAGATGTGTTGCTGTGTAGTTGCTAGCCTCTTCGCTAGAAAAAATAGGAAATGAGAAGCACATCTAGAGAATTAAAAGGGTTAAATGTCTTAAAGTTTATCATTATCAGCTACTTTAATATTGAATTATGTGATTAACCAGGGATATAGTGAAAGCCTGGTTCTGAATGATAAAATATTTCGAAGCAGTGAGGAGGACAGGGATAAGGCCCTTATCATAGACTTTATTCCATTAGGCATAGAATTCTAACTTGCATCATTTATAGGCTACCTTGCTTCCTTTGCCATTTAGAACTGTAGAGTTTCATTGCTTTAGAAAATTTATCTACAAGTACATGTCTCTTTAGAGTTTAGATTTTCATTCCAAAATCACAATACTTCCCTTCTACCGCAGTTATGTTTTTGTAGCCATCACCTTTAGGCTGTGGGGGGAGAAAATCACAATATAAGCTGCATTCAGCAGTGTGTTTCCTCCTGTGACCTAGCAGCAAGCAGCAGGGCAGATGTTTTATGATGGGGACCCTTCTGGAGCTACTCTCTAATGAACTATTGCCTGAGACAAAAACAAGGAAATTATTGGACCACTGGCATCTGGTTTTAAGGCTATTGCTCAATCCTGGGCTGTTGGTGTAGACATCTGTGGCTTTCCCCCCAGGCCACATAATACAGGCTCATCCTCACCAATCTGCCCTTTCAGGCCTCTGTCCTCATCTTCTCTCTGCTCTGGCCAGGGCTCTCCACAATCCTCTTAAAGTGAGATTCATCCAGGCCAGAAGTGAGCACAGCACTGTGGGGAGAGTCAGAGCAGCCTCAGCATACTTCCTGGCCTCTCTGTAGGTATTCTACTTAGCCTGTCCCAGTCACCGCCCCCCTTCTCCATTCTGATGGCATCCACTTGATGTGGTACTTACTTCAATAGTAAGAGAATGAGTGGAATATGGGGCAGGCATGATCATATTTAATTCTCTAGGTCTCCTTTGAGAATAAAAAGCAAAGGGAAAATATTTGAATCTCCTAAGGAAATGATTTCAAAGATACACAGAAGGAATATCCATGTCAAAAGAAATGATTCTGAATTATTGTTTAAGATATAAGATAGGATTTGCTAAGCTACATTCCAGTGTGAGGTGAACAAAAAGTAAACAAGACTCCGCTAAACTCATTTCCTAGGAGAAAAATAAAGTGGTGACTTATTTTGGTCTTACATGGCTCGTTAAACATGAAAGTATCCTGTTCATTTTTCTTGTATGGAAGAACTTAAAGTAGATACAACAGATGAATAGAAACAAACCATACATATGCTGCAACTTTTAGGAATATGTCATACAGAAATACTAGCAATCAAACGATTTGTCCCTAAAGCAGATATATGGAGAGTAACAATAGAAAAGCCTGACAAGAGAGGCTAAAAAAGAATATTGTGTGGTGTCAGACAGTGCCATTTTGGGTCACTCCAGTTGGCTAACCCAAGTCTTTTGTTGAAAGCAAGCTAGGAACTGGCTTGAGAAGGCTGAGATAATTATTTGTGAAGGACAGGCAGTGGCTGAGGATTTCTTCTGGGGTAGAGCTGCCTGATTTATTTTCAGTTGCAGTGGCACAGTCCTTGGAAGTGATGCAAAGAGTTATAGAGTCTATTGTTTTCTAAATGTTTCCATGACTGGTTGCTAGGATTGAGTATGTGCTGAGTGTGTGCTGGGGAGTGACTAGATGGACAAAATGAAATGGTCTGCCCAGGTTGCTATGGCAGCCAAAAGGAAGGCAAGTCCAGTGAGAAAATGGAGCCAAGTGATGCAAAGAAGGAAATTCCAGTAAGAACCGTACACACACAGATCTCTGTTGGTTATGGATGCATCCAGTGCCCTAGACCTTCACTTCTCAACCCCATACTACCTCAAGGCACTGTTTCAGATGGGCCCTCCCTGGCTACCATGCAGTGCCCCCACCTCATCTCTCTCTGTTTGCTGTCTACTTTATTTATTTATTTTGCACTCATTATAGCTGATACTCTTTTGGTACATGTTTGTTTATTGTCTTCCTAACACTGAAGTGTAATAATCACAAAAGTAGAGGCCTGTCCTTTTTCCATGGTTCAGAGACTGGTATACAGCCTAGAACAAAGTAGGTACCCAGTAAACATTTGCTAGATATAAAACTGTGCTGGCTGTGGTTGGACACTATATTTTACTTATCTCAGAATTTTGAATTCAAAAACATTTATTGAACAAAAGTGGGCTACTATAAAGCAGAGAGGCTATCCTTGAAAGCTTTTTCTTCCTCAGCTTATTCATACAAGTCATGCAAAGCCATGGGTAGGAACTCTGGGGATTCTGTGGAACTGCCCAAAGTGATGCTTATGCAGCCTGGAACTGGAACATGGCAGCCTGAATATGAAGGGAAGCAGTCATAGATCACTGAGACACAGAACAGTAGTCACTATCAGTTATGAAGGGCTTACTATGTGCTAGCTCATGTTCTGAGCATTTTTTATGCACAGTGTCATTTAATCCCTGTCACTGTAACAAGGTAAGTCTTATTATTATACCCATTTTACAGATGAGAAAACTGAAAGAGCTTAAGCAACTTACCAAAGCTGACTTAGCTGTTTAAGGCTAGTATTCAAATGTACTTCATGGGATCATCTTAATTCATGAATTGTGTTTAGTTTGTACTTAGTAAGATTATCTCAGTAAATGTGCTCTGTCTGTCTTCTTGGTGCTTTTCTGAGCTCTCAATATTGTGGTGTGCTGTTTTCCTATGAACTGGTCTTTTTGATTTACCTGTTGAGGAAATATAAGCATCCTCTAATATATTTAATAATCCAAAATAAGCAGATACAAATGGGAAAGCCAGTGATAAAGAGTGAAACGTGTGAGCTAGCTTCCTGGGAATGGGTGCCATAAGTTCTCAGCTACCTGCCTGCCATGCCTGGAGTGAGTGACCTGTTACAAGGTTACAGGCTTGCAATCTGAGTCCAAGTGCTAAATAGCTCTGAGACCTTGGGTTTTCCACTGAGCATCCTCAAGGCCTCGGTTTTATCCTCTCTATAACTGAGTCTGTGATGCAGCAATGTGGCAGGTAGACTCTTCTACAGCACAAGATAGCATTGATCCACAGCCATGTATGCTGGGTGTAGCCTGGATTCTTCCATGCTGGTCTTGCAGCAGGGGTGCAACCCCAGAGCAGAAGGCCTGGCTGTGGAACAGCTGCATTCTTTTCGCACTGCTGCCTGCAGAGCAGGTGGCCCACCCTGGGTTAGAAAAACTTTACAAAAACCCCCAAAACACATCTAAATGATTTTATTATTATATTCCATTAACTTGCTGTGAGCTAGAACATTTTCCCATTTACTCAAGGGTTTTTGGCTGTCAGAATATATTAGGGTTCACAAGCAAGGGCCAGAGACTCAGGTAACTCAGAGGTCAGATGCCAAAGTCAGCTAAAGTACTCAATTTGGGGCACAGAAGCATTTTTCCTCCCCAGGGAACATTTGGCAATGTATAGAGATATTTCTGATGGATGTGATTCAGAGATGCCATTGGCTTCTAGCGGGTAAAGCCAAGGACATGACTAAACACCCTACAATGTATGCAATGGATCTTCATAACAAAGAACTATCTGCTCCAAATAAGAATAGCGTCAAGGTTGAGAAACCCTAAACCAAGGCAGAAGGAGCACACAAATATTCTGATACCAGAGATCAGTAACTAGGCAGGCACACTGTGTCCAGCAGGTCAGGTAGGCCCAAGGGAGAAAGCCCAGGCCACAGAGCTGCAGGAACCCAGCCAAGGATTCGGATTTAAGCTAGTCATGTGGAAATAAACACAGGCCACCACCAACAGTAAATGCTAATGTGCCATCTGGTTTCTGAAGCAGGAACCTCTTTTTACCTTTTGAGGCACTTTCTTTCTTTTCTTTTTTTTTTTTTTTTTGGTACCAGGGCTTGAACTCAGGTCCTTGCGCTTGTGCAGCAGGCAACAAAACCACTGAGCTAAATCCCTGGCCCTTTTGAGGCACTTTCTGATGCTAGCTTCTTAGCTGGATTCAAATCTGGCATCAAGCAATAGACATACTTCTACCATTTGATCCTCACTATAGCTATTTAAGATAGAATGGCCATTCTTATTATTTTTTTCAATTTTATTCCTGAGGCTTCTGAGGCTGAGAGGGATTAAGCAAGTGGCAGTCTTCAGATTCCAAATGTTGCATTTGTCTGGCTGAGGAAGGTGGAGGTCAAAGAACATGTATCCAAAGCGGAAGAAGTACAAGTTAGATGGAGGTAGGTGTCTACAGCCCTTCCCACCTATGCCAAAAGGGAGGAAGGAAGTACTCATAGAGTGGGTGAGTGGTGTATACTCAAAGTTCAACAAATAGGAATTTGGGACAATTTTGTTATATTTTATTGAAAAAACTTCAGAACTGCCTGCAGTGCAAAGGAGGTGAACCTTCTGGGTTGCTGTACCACACTACCCCAGTACTGAGGAGGTGAGCCACATGGGTGCCAGCAACACACATCCCTCCACCTCCGTTGAAATGAGAAGACATGTAAACAAGTCTCAAAACCAGACTTCCAGATCACCTAAAGCAACCCCAAAGGGAAACGAGATGGAAGAATCTGATACTTAACCACCTGGACTCACTGAACTGGCAACAAAAGAGGATCTGGAAAAAACGAAATCAGAAATAATTTCTCAGAAAACAGCAAAGATTGTGTCCATAGTGCAAGACATGGTTAATAAATCTAGAGAGGACACAGATAAAAAAATAGAGGAGGTGAGGAACATGATGGAATCCCAACATAGGAAACAAATGGAACCCATAAAACAGATGCAAACAAATTTCCAGGAGATTAAAAACTCCATTGAAAGTTTATGCAGCAGAATAAGTCAATGTGAGCCCAGAATTTCAGATATAGAAGATAAAATTGCAAGTAGTGACCAGGAAGAGAAAAATTTCTTTAAAATCGTAAGGGAACCACAAAAAATCAATCCAGCAGCTGCTAGAAGATGCAAAGAAGAATAACATAAGACTGATTGGAGTCAATGAAGAAACAAGAGAGAGTGCAGACAACATAAAAAAAGTGTTCACAGAAGTGATGGCAGAAAACTTCCCAAGCAGG